AAGATACATGACCAGCATTTTTTTCTTTAATTTTGCTACCCATGTCCTTGCTAGGTCAAATCAAGCAATCAGACAAGCATTTTAATGCAATAAAGCTGGAACTGTCAGCCAATGGATATTTTTGTGAGACAGTGACTGGTTCAGTCAACAAGGCTCAGTACACAATTCCATCATCCATGTCCATCATCATTTTCTCCAAAGGAAACAAATTCCTTTTTGTCTAACCGAATCCACCAATACATATACTCATTTTAGCAGGGCACTGGAATGAATGCAATCCAATAAATCAGTGACTAACACCAACTGGGGTTTAACTACAGATACTAATTTTAGTCATGAACACCTCACACTGACAGAAAAGTAAACTTCACATGTGCACGCCTACTGAAACATCTCTCAACTTGCACTCTTCAACTACAGCCAAATTACAATTACACACTGTTTTTCATTTTAATGAATAAGTGCGCAGAAATGGCTGAGGTTCACATGCATGCACTTCCCAGATATACCGAGATCATAAGATCAACAACAGCATCTGCAACTCATTGTTTCATGGTTAATTAGAAATGAAATTAACCACATCAGGACTCCCAATAGCTTCGTGATACACTAGATAATGCTGGCTAAAAAGAATTAACTCATTGATTGGATGACTGTTTTATGACAAACGGAATCCCTATTCCATCCATCGGTAAACTGCCTTCAAGAAATTTGATTCCATCTTCTTTTTGCCGAACCCTTATTTCCTCCACCATTCCTGCACCTCCATGAATCTCAAGCGAGTTTGAAGTTTGAATCTTCCTCCCTTTCCCAAAAGGCTCTTAACTTTTTACCTTCCAAGGAAAGAGTTGAAGGAAAAGGTATCTAGTCCCCTCCAACTTTTCCATAACCTTGAATTTTTCTGTGTCATAACATTTCTTGCTGGTTCATCAATGCTCAAATGTTTGAAACTTCTTTGAATTTTCTGCTTCAGTTCTTCAGCTGCAAAAGTACTGTACAATCTCCTCTTTCCTACATCCCAAATCAACATTCAGTTCCTCTAGGTCTACAGCGTATGTTCAGAGAGAAAACCAGAGTTAACACTTGTTTCAAGTCTGCTATGACACTCCTTCAGAACTGCTCTCGCCTCAGATCCTACCGGACCTGCTGAGTTTCTCGCGCATTCTCTTCATTTGTTTCAGATTTCGAGCATCCGCAGTATTTTGCCTTTATTTAGCTCCTCTAACTCTCTTTTCAAATTATGCAGCTCTTCATCTTCCTAAATCCTTGCTTCCTGCTGTCTTCCTTAAACTTAAATTCCAATCCCTTCAGTCATTTCCTTGCCAATTTATGACTGACCTTTACACCATGGCTTTGCTATGTTGCACTGAAGGTCTCTCACAGTGAAGGTAATAAAATAACTCACTGGAACACTGGGTTACCACCATACCGGCTCTTTGGCAAATATTATACACTTCCTTTATTGTACCCACTAATGGCCATAGTCCAGCTTCAGACACTTCATAAAACTGTAGTTCTATAAGTTAACATGATGCATTTTGCATAATAGGAAATTTAAGGCCAACAATTCATGACACCATTTTCCATCGATTCAAATGAATTACTGGAAACTTTACCAATCACCAACCAAGACACTGACCTTCACCCCAAATACCCGCAGGCATCATGTAGACATCTGCACAGAAACATGAAAATGGCAATTTACCACAATCCCCTATTGTTTGACCGCTGTGCACACACCTGCAGAAAACAGTATCTGATGGAGTTCAATGGCAACATTCTCATCTTTGACAAGTGCAGGTGAAAACTAAATTGACCTTATTATTTTCTTACTTAGTTGTCTTAATTGACTTTTAATGCAATATTTTTATGTATTAGTGGGATCACTGAATTGGAAAGTCTGAGCAGGTAAGTCAACATGTAATGTTTGATGCTGAAAGCTCCCAACCACCTGCCAGACAACACTCCCAGCTCTTACTAGAGGGCTGTGGGTTCAAGCCCTATTGCAGAGAATTTCTTAGTACAGCACTGAGCAGGTACCGCACTGTCAAAGGTGCCACCCAACTGAGACCTAGTTCACACTCTCAGGAGAAATTAAAAGATGCTACAGCGCTATTTTGAAATGGTCTCAGTAGTTAACAGGAAACAGTGCAGACATAAATGGATCATTTTTAGGTGGCAAGCTGTGACTATTGTCAGTACAAAAGGATCAGTGCTATTTACAATCTAAGTGAATGACTTGGACAGGGGAACAAATGCACAGCTTCTGAATTTGCTGATGACACCAAGATAGGGAAGAGTGTTAGTTGTCAAGAGAAAGTATAGAGTGTGCAAAGGGATATAGACAGGTTAAGTGAGTGGGCAAAAATCTGGCAGATGGAGCATAAAGTGGGAAGATGTGAATTTGCCCACTTGCCCACTTTGTCCTGAAAAATAGAGAAGTGGTATGCAATTAAATTGATGATTTGCAGAACTGCGCAGTACAGAGACATCTGGGTGTCCTGGTACACAAGTCACAAAATGCTAGTATTCAAATACAGCAAATTTTGAAGAAGGCAAATAAATGTTGTTCTTTATTGCAAGGGAATATAGTAGGGAAGCTATACCGCAGCTGTACGGGGCCTTGATCAGGTCACATCTAAAGCATTCTGCACAGTTTTAATCTCCTTATTTGAGAAAATTATTGTTAGGTCATTAGATCTGAAGCAATTCAGAAAAGGTTCAATCTACTAATTCCTGGGATGAAAGTTTAATTTATGAAGAAAAGTCAACCACATTGGCCCTTACCCCTGAAACTTGAAAGAATGAGTGGTGATCTAATTGAAGCTATTAGGATCCTGAGGGGTCTTGATAAGGTGGATAAAGGAGGATGTTTCCACTTGTCGAACAGACTACCGTTAGGGGACACTGCTTAAAAACAGGAAGCCTGCATTTTAAAATAGATATGAGGAGAAAAGTTTTTTGTCAGAGAATCATTAGTTTGTAATGCGCTCTTCCTCAGAAAACAGTGGATGTTGGGTCATCAAACTTAATCAAGACTGAGTTAGATTAATTTTTGATAGTCAAGGTTGTCACTCAGATCACCCATGATTTTTTTGAATGGTGGATCAGGTTTAAGTAGCATTTTAACTGTGGCCACATTTGAAACATATTTCACTGGCCGCAATGTCCTGGTGTGAACGTGAAAGTGAAGCTTGTGAACAGAATGATTAAAATCATTTGATTTTACTTGAGCATTGGGAAGCAAATGTTTTCCTCCCAGATCCTTCTCATTCACCCTAGTAGGTACTAGTAGGCACTAATGCTCAGTCCATCCTATACAGCTCATAAGTTAAATGGAATCCAAGCTCTCTCATTAGATAGCTAACCAATGCAAGATGTCAGAAATCTCAAAACATTTTATTTGATAGACAAGCAAAATCTATTAATTAAAAATACTTTGAGACTGTGGGACTTAGTGGTCATGTATTGTTACCTGGCAGAACATAGATCCAAACATTATGGATTAGTTTAAACAGAGACAGGAGGCCAATCAGCCTCTTAATTCAATTATGGCTAATCTGGATCTCATTCCATCTACCCACCTTTAATCCATTTTTCTCAATATCCTTACCCAACAAAAATCAAATCGATAGAGAGAAAAAGAAAGGCTATATTTTAGATTAATGACCTTTCATCAGAGCATATGCTGCCAGACCACTGCGTACTTGAAGTATTTTCTGTTTCTATTTCAGATGTCCAGCACCTGCAGTATTTTACTCCTGAAAATATAATTTATGTCAGTCTTGAAATTTACAACTGACCTCCAAGCATGACATCTTTTTGGAGAAAGAGTTCCAGCTTTTGTGTGAAATTCTTCCAGACATCATGCCTGAACAATTTAGCTCTAATCTTAGGGTTACGCCCCCTTGTTCTGAACTTCCCCAGAGGAAACAGTTTATCTCATTCTGCTCATATTGAGGCATGCTGAGGGTGTGAAAGACTTATATAATTTAGATTAGTATATTTGCAGTTCTTTGATCACCTTAAATATATCTATATTACCTCACTCTCATAATTATAATCATAAAACACTATAAACTTAATCTTTCATATTCAATGGAACACAAGCCAAAGTTGTAAAGCTCCAGGACCAGAAGATACAATATTTCAGCCATATCCCTCTCCATCCTGTACCCTGTATGTAAGGGACAGTGTTCACGAGTAGCAGTTAGAGAACCAAGAGATAATCAGCACAATGTTACAAGCCCCAGGAGAGGAGAGAACCCTGATAGAGTGATGTCCCCTTTGGTGTTTGGGAGCTTTATAGAGTCTGTGCGTGAAGGGTAATAGGGGATTCACTTTGGTGCCAGATATTTGTGTGTGTGTTTGGGGGTGGGTGGTGTACAGTGCTTGATCTTCAGGTGGCTCAAGTGCAGTTCTCAGGGTTACAGATATGGACAGGACCTCAAGGTTAGTGATAGTGAGCTATGTCTGGACATGTGGGGTACAGGCACCTGGTATCGGATGTACTTGGGTTAAGGGGATGGTGTTAAGGAGTGCAGGAGGGCAGTCAGATCTCCTTCAGCATGTTAACACCATAGAGACCCTGGCACCCCATCTATGAGAATGTGGGATCTAGACACCCTGAACCCTGAATGGGGGTATGGGCACGTGGTGCTGAGGATGGGTAAGGGGAGTCGGGGAACAAGAGAGCCCAGAACTGGGATAGGAAAGCGAATGATGCTGGAAGATCCCACTCTTGAATGGGGATGGGGAGTGGAGTGGGAGAGGCCAGATCCCCACGGATGAGGGAGTGGATAAGGTACAGATCCCCTGGGGCAGTGCGGAGTGAAGTGGAAGGGACAAGATCTGTTGGGATGCGGGTGGCATTGGCAATGAGTAGAGGGATATTTCCCTAGGGTAGGGGTATACACCGATAACCCAGGTAGAGGTCGGGTTTTTTTGTGGGGGGGGGGGGGGGGGGGGAGAAGGATGTCACCACTGCCAGGTTTACTCACCCTGTCGATAGATCCAGGCACCAGACGCTCCAGGAGGCGACACAAGACCACCCCGTCCCTCAGGGAGCTCTGTAGGAAAGCCTCGGGGTCCGACACTGTTTTCTTGGGGGAATCCAGGACCCCGAGTGTAATCAGCCAAGTGACCGTCTGCTCAGCGGAGCTCATCGCTACCGATCCCCATTCACCGGGAGTGCGGGGATCCGAGCCTTGGGCCCCGGGACAACAGTCCCCTTTTCCTTCCCGGGCCCCGGGACAATCCCCGCCGCCGCCTTTTCCCGGTCCCCGCGGTTCACTGCTTCCCGAGGTCCCGGCTCCGAAGCGGCGAGCCCGGCATCACTCAGTACTGATAGAGCCGTGTGTCTCGGAGGGGAGGGCTAGTGCCTGGTCCCCGGGCTCTCCCTAATCCCGTAACCTCACTCCCTCCCCGCCCCTCGCCAACCCCTGCCCCCGGGGCGGCTCTCTTTGTTTCTCCGGGACGATCGCGGATCCGAACCTGCCGCCCACTGCCGCCGCTCAGACTGAGCCCGAAGCCGGTTCCTGCCGCCCTCTAGTGCCGCCCGGGACCCAGCAATAGAGGAGGGCCCGGAGACCCCGACTCCCGACAATTAGCCCCCAAGCCGACAATTACCCCCCCACCCCCACAATTACCCCCCCCCCCCCACACCCGACAATTACCCCCCCAACCCCCGACAATTATCCCATCACTCGACAATTTCTCTCCA